CTTCCCACCCACCCCCCCCAGCTGCAAATGCAGAGCAAAATTTATAGCATCTGGGATTCTCATCCGTTCCTCTTATCAGGAGCTGAAAAGGCCAGCGTGTTGCAGATTGGCTCTCTGGGGAATGCAGGGGGGGGGACCTCGGGTGGGTCTCTGAGGAGCAGAAATTGGGGGGGGGGGAGAGGAAGCAGACATCTCCCGAAGCAGAAGAGTGGAGCAGAGACCCCTTCCCCCCCCTCCTGTGGTGCTTTTCCTGAAGCCAATGATCCGATTATTCAGAACAGCAGAATAAACAAGAGTTGGGAGGGACCTTAGAGGTCTTCTAGTCCGCGCTAGGAGACCCTACTACATCCTTTCAGATAAGTGGCTGTCCAGTGGCTTCTTGAAAATCTCCAGTGATGGAGCACCCACAACTTCTGAAGGCAAGCCACTCTCCTGGTTCAGCCAATCCATCAGAATAGAGGCTGGAGGGGACCTGGGAGGTCTTCTAGTCCAGCCCCTTGCTCAAGCAGGAGTCTTATCCAATCAAAATAGAACTGGAAGGGACCTTGGAGGTCTTCTAGTCCAGCCCCCTGCTCAAGCAGGAGACCCTATGCCATTTCAGTTAGGTGGCTGTCCGGTCTCTGCTTAAAAAACTCCAGTGATGGAGCACCTACAACTTCTGGAGGCAACTTCCGTTCCACTGGTTAATTAATAGAATAACAGTTAATTAATAGAATAATAATAATAATAATAATAATAATAATAATAATAATAGAATAACATTAATAGAATTAACAGAATAGAATTAATAGAATAACAGAGTTGGAAGAGACCTTGGAGGTCTTCTAGTCCAGCCCCCTGCTCAGGCAGGAAACCCTGTACCATTTCAGACAAATGGCTGTCCAATCTCTTCTTAAAAACTTACAGTGCTGGAGCATCCACAATTTCTGGTGGCAAGTCGTTCCATTGATTAATTGTTCTCACTGTCAGGAAGTTTCCCCTTAGTTCTAGGTTGCTTCTCTCCTTGGTTAGTTTCCATCCATCGCTTCTTGTCCTGCCTTCTGGGGTTTTGGAGAAGAGCTTGACTCTCTCTTCTTTGGGGCAGCCCCTCAGATACTGGAAGACTGCTCTCATGTCTCCCCTGATCCTTCTCTTCATTAAAGCCACCTCAAATGGCTTCCCTCCCCCTTCAGAATCCCTGGCCTGAAACTGGCGCCATCTTCTGACACCGTTCTGATTGCCCTGAGCGTCTCTCCTGCTGCTGGGTCTTCTCCTGCTGGGCTGTCCTCCGTTGGTTCCTCAAGACGGGAGCTTGGGGAATCGAGTCCCTCAGACCTTCTTTTCTCCCCTTCCCGAAGGTTCAGCGAAGAAGGGATGGAAGTTATGGAACGCCTGATCTACCTGTATCGCAAGTTCAGCCAGTTGAAAGTCAGCAACGAGGAGTACGCCTGCATGAAGGCCATCAATTTCCTCAACCAAGGTAAGCGGCCGGGAGGATGGGCTTCCATCCTGGCCCGAAGCTCTGATGGCCCTGTTCTTCTGGTGGTCTCATGGGGGTTGGAGGAGAAGACCACAACCCACATGGCCCCATGGCCAGCTCTGATGGCCCTGTTCATCTGGTGGTCTCATGGGGGTTGGAGGAGAAGACCACAAACCCCATGGCCCCATGGCCAGCTCTGATGGCCCTGTTCATCTGGTGGTCTCATGGGGGTTGGAGGAGAAGACCACAAGCCCCATGGCCAGCTCTGATGGCCCTGTTCTTCTTGTGGTATCATGGGAGTTGGAGGAGAAGACCACAAACTCCATGGCCCCATGGCCAGCTCTGATGGCCCTGTTCTTCTGGTGGTCTCGTGGGGGTTGGAGGAGAAGACCACAAACCCCATGGCCAGCTCTGATGGCCCTGTTCATCTGGTGGTCTCATGGGGGTTGGAGGAGAAGACCACAAACCCCATGGCCCCATGGCCAGCTCTGATGGCCCTGTTCTTCTGGTGGTTTCATTGGTCCCAAGGGCAACCTGGGACCCTCCAGAGGTTGCCAATCACATCTCCCAACAGCCTCATTCCCGGTGGCCCAGTGACAAAAAAAAATAAAAATAAACCTGGGAGTTCTCTTGGGCAACTTCTAGAAGGTCTCCCAAGCTTCCACCTTGGGCTGACCCAGAAGGCCGAAGGAAATGGGATCAAGGAAAAAGAGCCCACCAGAAATGGAACCAGGGACACACACACCCCAACTTCATTGCCACCTGGGCCAAGGAAGGTATACTACAAGACGTGCTGCGTGCGGCAGGCCAAAATACACCATTGGGATGACCTGTTGGGTGCGGCCCAACGCCCGTCTTTGCCCATGGGATGTGGGTGCGGCACGTCTCGCTTCCCTGCTGGTGAGGCTGCTTGCTTGGAGATGGAAGCAGAAGCTTTGAGAGTCTGGATGTTGATTTACAGTCCACGTTGGGTCATCTTAAAGACAGTTCTTCAGTTCTCCTTTCTCTCTTCACACGCGGCACAATTGTCCTTTTGCCAAAATGAGAGAGCCAATGGGTTGCATTATATTTGAGAAGCAGGCGTCTCCTCCTCCTCCTCCTCCTCTTCCTCACGTGCTGTCTTCCATCCAGATATCCGGGGCCTGGCCAACGCCTCCCAGCTGGAGCAGTTGAACAAGCGATACTGGTACGTCTGCCAGGACTTCATGGAGTTCAAATACCCGCACCAGCCAAACCGGTTTCCGGACCTGATGATGTGTCTACCGGAGATCCGGTACATCGCAGGTAAGCAAGTCATCTCAGGAGGTCCTCCTCGGGCTGACTTCTGGAAGCTGGGAGTCTCCCAAGCTGTGTTTCTCCACCTTGCCACCTCTACGATGGGTGGACATCAACTCCCAGACGGCCGGGGAATGCTGGGAGTTGAAGTCCACCCATCTTAGTGTTGCCCAGGTTGAGAAACATCACTGCCAGGGCTCAAAGGTCTTCCCAAGCACCCGGTTGATCTTCTAGGGTGAGGCCCCGGAGTAGCTCAAGAATGTTGGGGCTTGTTTTCATCCAGAGCTTCTGGAGACCAACAACCCACAAGTCCTAAACCAAGCAAGGGCACCATTGTTGCTCCTTCAACTTGCCCTCCAATTCTCCAGGCTAGGAGGAGGACGTTTCTATTCCCTTCTCCACATCAAGCCATCTTCCTGGTTGTCCAAAGAGCCGTGGTGGTGCGGTGCAGCCTCATTCTGCCCACTGCCAGGAGTTCAATCCTCACTGGCTCAGGTTGACTCAGCCTTCCGTCCTTCTGAGGTCGGTAAAATGAGGACCAAGATTGTTGGGGGCTAATATGCTGTGTAAACCGCTTAGAGAGGGCTGTAAAGCACTGTGAAGCGGTGTATAAGTGATGGTTCTATCTATCTATCTATCTATCTATCTATCTATCTATCTATCTATCTATCTATCTATCTATCTATCTATCTATCTATCTATCTATGCACTGTGAAGCGGTGTATAAGTGCTGGTTCTATCTATCTATCTATCTATCTATCTATCTATCTATCTATCTATCTATCTATCTATCTATGCACTGTGAAGCGGTGTATAAGTGCTGGTTCTATCTATCTATCTATCTATCTATCTATCTATCTATCTATCTATCTATCTATCTATCTATCTATCTATCTATCTATCTATGCACTGTGAAGCAGTGTATAAGTCTAAGTGCTGGTTCTATCTCTCTCTCATATCTATCTGTCTATCTGTCATATCTATCTATCTCTCTATATTATATCTGTCTATCTCTATATCTCTATGTCTATCATATCTGTCTATCTCTGTCTATCATATCTGTGTCTATCTCTGTCTATCATATTTGTCTATCTATATCTAAGCACTGTGAAGCGGTGTATAAGTCTAAGTGCTGGTTCTATCTATCTATATCTCTCTCATATCTATCTGTCTGTCTATCTCTGTCATATCTATCTATCTCTCTATATTATATCTATCTATATCTCTATCATATCTGTCTGTCTATCATATCTGTCTATCTCTTATCTATCATATTTGTCTGTCTGTCTGTCTGTCTGTCTGTCTGTCTGTCTGTCTATCTATCTATCTATCTATCTATCTATCTATCTATCTATCTATCTATCTATCTATCTATCTATCTATCTATCTATCTATCTATCTGCCATGGTAACGCAGTGATTAGAATGCAGTATTACAGGCTAATTCTGCCGACTGCCAGGAGTTCGATCCTGACCAGCTCAAGGTTGACTCAGCCTTCCATCCTTCCGAGGTCGGTAAAATGAGGACCCAGCTTGTTGGGGGCCAATATGCTGACTCTGTAAACCGCTCAGAGAGAGCTGCGAAGCCGTCTATAAG